AGATGTATAAAGATATTGCAGACTGAATTCTAATCTCTACACATACATACATGTACATAAAAATAAGCCACATTTACTAATTAAATATAATTGTGTAAACTAGCAGTAAAATAATTTGTCATTATTTTTCATTATTTAAAATGCAATGACGACAGAGAATTAAAATAGATATCGATGCAAGTTTTACTAACCCCAGTGATGTATTTGAAAAGTACATTCATCATAGCATTAATAAATGCGGGATCTGAATGGTGTTGAGGATCCAACTTCTCCTTGATCCATTTGTAAAGAGCGTTAGGCGCTGGATCGGCCTCTAATTGACGCCACATATCTCCCTGGATTCTGAGAAGAGGATAAAGGAAAGTCAATTCTCGGTCTTCCAAGATCTCGCCCAAGCGTTCCTTTGTCTTCTCCGCTTCTGGCAGTTGACTGATAAGATCCACTTTGCTATCGTTGAAGATCTGCGTGAGCCTTGTCTTGCCTTGGGTCTTGTGGAGCTGTTGTAGAGTCAGTAGGAACAGCGGATGATGACGACCGTTTTCTGTTTCCGAGGCGAGATCCGTCAACAGAATTAAATTGTCCACTATGGCCTTAGCTGTCAGGAAGGCAACGTGGGACGCTACCAAAGGCACGGTACTTTCCTTCTCCGATATACTGGCCACCAGTTCCTTCCATCCTTCATTCACTTGCTGCAAAGTGAGCAAGCTCTCCTTCTTGAGCTCGACCACGAGCTTGATGGCGAGCTCGCGTTCGGAATCTCCACGATCTAATGTGTTTGAAAACATCGTGCAGATCGCGTGACGCAAGAATCGCTCGGGGATCTTAAGATCTTTGAAGGCAATCAAAGCATCCTGCACGTTTGTATGTGACGCGAGATCGTCCATTAACGCGTTCACCTTTTTCAACACTTCCTCCCGTGTAGGTCCCTTGTCCTTTCTATCCCGAGCCTTCTCGCGCTTGTCTACAGGACCTTGCTTGATCACGATAGCAGGTGGTGTCTCTTTGTGCAATAGAGGCGAACTGGGCTTCAAAGCGGTATTACGCAAGAGAGGCATGTCTGAGCCTCGTCCTGGGAACAAATCTGTTATTTTTATAATTAAAATATATATAATTATTACTAGATTATTGAATTTTTTAGTAATTTTATTTTTGAAAATGATACAAATGGATAAAAATATTTACCATTGTTGAGAGGTAGGTTCAAGTTGATATTAGTTTGTTTGAACATCATTGAATTGGCTGAAGGTCTCAGAGACACTTCTTCCGGATGTCCCCCGATCAACATCTTATTTTTATTGAATCGAAGTTGTTCTTTATTGCTATCTGCAATGGCACGAGAAACAATAAATGCCCATAAAGTTATTGTTATATTTATTAGTTAATAAAAAAAAAAAAATTTACTGTATCTCTGTACTCACTGTTGTTAAAGTTTTGCGGTAAATTATGTTGCGGCTGGTTGCGTTTTCCTTCGTAATTGTTCTGATGACGACTCTGGTTTTGATAGTAGCCTCCTCCTCCTGACTGATTACGTTGGTTATGACGGCCATAACCAACCCCAGGAGTCCCTGCGAATCCATTCGGACTGAATGGTGGTGGTGGCATACCGAATGAGGGGGAAGTCAATGGAATACTTCCCATCATGTCTACGTCTAATCCGCCTCGTCCCATCTTTCGTAAAAACTCTGCACCGAGGCGATCCTCTCGTCCTCTGTGGAAACCATTTCCCCGCGATGGCTCCTCGTTGTCGTTGCGGATCTGATTAATCGGCATCGGGCCTTCGGTGCTGGTGGCCTTGCGCGGTTTCCAATCGTCACGGCGTAATTCAATCACATCACGCAGCATGAATTTGATGCGTAGAGGAAGATCCCTACTCTCTGCCAGAGAGTTCATACGTTTGAAGTATTGATCCATGAGTCCGCGGCCCTTATCCGAGTCAAGGATACGGCCGCAGGTACGCATAATCTGGCAGAGGCATTCGATATCCTCCGCCGCGTCCCCCCGGGATCCCCCTCGCCTTTTCTTTTCCAGCAACTGCTGGATGCAACGATGTAGAATCGGCTCCGACACGATGCCCAGCTTGCCGAGCTCCCCGATAAACTTGATGTTACCGAGCATCTTGCGCTTGGCCACCTGCCGGCGCTCTTCTTCCTCTGGACCAAGCTCATCCTGATTCTCGAACGCCTCGCTTGCTTTTGAACGATTTTCGAACTCGTCTTTGCACTTGTTAAGTAAAAGGACTCTGAATGTGCTCTGGCCTTTTTGACTTTCATCGATCGGTTTACGGGGTTCAAAGTTTGCGGCTTCGTCAGACAGCTGTTTGCACAGCCGTGCGTACATAGAACTGTACTTGGGTTCATCAAGCGCTTTTTCGAAGATCTAAAAAATTGTTATTGATATTTTTTTTAATGAACCAGCATCAAAGCGTCTTATACGATAAATATCATCATTTTACGACGCATCAATACGTACCAAGAAAATAACACCCTTGAGAATCACATGGGAATTAAGCTCAACGTTGAGCAGGTCGTTGCTCAGCTTTGCGAATTTTTCCGGTGTGAGCTTGTTAAGAATACCCCGTACCTTTCTAAAGATGAGATCATTTCGGCTTTCTGGGGTGAGTGCATCGCGTCTAACAGTTGAAGGAGGGATCCAGCGTAGCTCAGTGGATAGGGAGCGAATATCGTCCCTGGAAGGCATCGAATTTTTCTAATGTCAGTGTCAACGCAAGTAGCAACGTACAGGGACGATTTGCGCACTATTTTTTGTAATAAGTAACGCGTTCTCGCGTTTCTATTGTTTTTTTATTTTTTTTTTTTTTTTTTTACTGCCAAGGGGTAACTTTATGGACCCTGACCTTCCTCCCGAGACACGAGAAGCACCCCCCGGTCCTGTGGGGTTGTCCGTTGTTGCGCGTGTTTTGGCCCCCTTAGTGATAAATCACAGCACACAGATCTTCCTTGAGGAAGCTGCAAAAAATTACATTAAATATTTGAAATTAGACATTTCTCACATACTTAAACACATTAAATCTAAATATAAATGGAAACACTGACTAATATATCTAATACGTTACACCCTTTTGTAACGTTCTCGCGTTTTTTTTTTTTTTTTTTTTTTTTTTTTTTTTTTTTGTTACTGCCAAGGTAACTTTATGGACCCTGACCTTCCTCCCGAGACACGAGAAGCACCCCCCGGTCCTGTGGGGTTGTCCGTTGTTGCGCGTGTTTTGGCCCCCTTAGTGATAAATCACAGCACACAGATCTTCCTTGAGGAAGCTGCAAAAAATTACATTAAATATTTGAAATTAGACATTTCTCACATACTTAAACACATTAAATCTAAATATAAATGGAAACACTGACTAATATATCTAATACGTTACACCCTTTTGTAACACACATGTAATTATAAAAGAAGTGTATTTCTCAAAGTTCATATATTATTTTCATATTATGATTTTAAGATGCATTTCCTAATTAAATCCTAAATTTGCTCGCAAAGCATAAAGATTTCAGCACCTAGATTAATCTACACTTGAACTACATAATTTCGAACATAATCTGAAAGTATACACACAGCCTTGGTCCATCTTTTTTTCTAATAAAACTGAGATAAACGATTGTAGCCTATCGCTTTTTGCCAGGGGCGACCAATTTATGTCGCAATGAACTCGTTCAATAATATTTGAGAGCATTTCTCTCGTCGCGCTACAGTGACCCACATGATAGATATATATATGTACATAAAATATTATTTTATAATGTGGTAATTGCGCATGTGAGCGCAATTTTAGAAAAGTTTCTCTACATTGCTCGCGTTCAATAAATGACGCACGCAAATCCTACGTTTAACGTACTCGAGTGGTTCAAGGATAGAGAATTGTGATGAGAGACGTTATATTTCAAGAGTCGAGTCGTTTGTGCATGCGTGTAACTTAAATAATTTCGATTCGCATCCATTTTTCCATTAGAAATCATAGAAACGAGCCTGTCAAAGTGACAGATCAGATTGCAAGAAGTTGATGACTTCTCCTCAGAAACTTCTCACTGAAGGAAAAACCGAAGGAAAAATCTCAAGATCAGAGCTAGAAGAACGATGATTTTTTTTACAGGACACCCTGTACACACCCTTTCGGAAGGCCTTCCGCGGACGAGAGGCAAGGACCTTCTTCTTTCCCAGGGAAGAGACGACGGCTTTGATCTTGCTCGCTGCTCGAGAACAAAACGACCGAAACGACCCACGGACGAGGGGAATGTCGTAGGGGAGCGTATATGTGGGGCGCGGCTCATGGTCAGACGGTCAATGAACCCTCTTCTCCTGACTCCCCTCCCCCCATCCATTTCACCACGACCGATCATCTCGCAGATCCCGCCGCTGTTCGGCCGAGGTCGGACGACTTCGTCAGACTGTTCAACGGAGGTCGTGCTTGTCCGGCCGCGTCTACCGGGTGTCCTGAGCACTCGGCTCTAGACAGGACGGTTTGGAAAATTAATATAAGTAATTGAACACGCGGAGTGTATAAATAATAACTATATTTAAGAACAAAAATTTAAAAAAATCGTTCTCGAAACGGATAACGAGCAATTATAAATTAATATTTCGCTCAAGTGCTTTTTTTTACGCAATGTCATTGATTTAGAATCTCTGTTATATCGCGAGACATTCGTATTTCGACGATAAGTTTTTACTTAAGTGTTCAATGTCGAGAGAAAAATTGACGGCTACGTTTAACGGTAAACGTGTATAATAAGAGCGCGCAAGACTAGGTTCTTCTACTGAAATAGTATTTTGTAAATATTTGGTTTCGACTATATATATATAGCTAAAAATGCACAATGAAAATATCCGGCTTCTCACGGACGTAACCATGAATGCAAGCAAACTCGAGCTTGAATAACAAAAAAAAAGAGAGAGAGAAAGAGAGAAAAGGAATTAATCCGAGCGATCTCTGAGGGAAGA